AATCAAAACGCGGAGCAGATCATTGCTGGGTAATTACAAGATTTTCATTGATAATATTTTACTTTTTGTAATCAATATTAATAATATTATTATAATCATAAGAAGGTGTCAAGGCAGCATTGACTGTTACAGAAGTAACATTTCAATATGCAATGTTTGATTATCAGAAATTGGCAGGTGTTGAAGCACACACACTACAGTCATTCTCACATATTCCTTGTGTTCAAAAGGCTAATCTGACCAAGATTTCCATGATGATACAATGATGCTACTGAATTCCAGGGGGGGGGCGCATGGCCCTGAAGTTTATCATGATTGCATCAATTGTCAAAGACACTTTCACTAATCTTCCCAGATCAGAGATGGCTGCTGGCACGCTAGCCGAAAAGTCACCTGCAACGATTCCACCTCTAGGGTAAGGGTGGCACTGTGACCAAGCTGTTGCAACTCTGGAGGAATATCAAGAGAATCTGCAATTCGTTTCAAGCACAGGAGGTCACAATTCAGAGCAGGGTTGGTGGCCCTGAAATTACTTTTGGGCTCTGATGTTAAGAGAAAAGTTGTAAAATAGTGTTTGTTTGTATAATCACTTTCCTAAATTCTTTGTTTTTTTGATTCTAACCAATTTAATAATTTTGGATAGGGGACTGGGATGGGTTTTTGCCCAATCAGTCCCCCTGTCCTGTAGGTTAAAATTATCACATGATTATATACATCTTTGTCAGCAATATGGCCAACAAGAAAAAGTCATAAAAATGGTTCGGATTTTGGTATGTTTAAGGCTTTACATGAGCCAGCTTGCAAGCTGGCTTGAGAGCTTATTAAGTTATTTGGCTTGTGAGGAGCTTTAGGTATGTTACATATAAATTAATAATTTTCATAAATACTCTGTTCTCTTTAATTTTTGTTTGACCAACTGAACTTGTTATTTAATTGAGGTAAGGTTGTTAGTGAGTAGACATGCCACCAACAAGATAGCAACCCAGGACTCAAAACTCCAAATTCAGGGAAAATCCAAAACAGCAACACTCCTACATTGGAGAATTTTTAACCAGTTGCAGGCACCAACTTTATACTGAAGGGGTATAACACAAAGTAATCATTCACACAGGCACCAGCTATCAGTGATTAATGCCCATTTGGTAACAGCCAAGCTTGGTCTGAAAGGAAGATAGGGGAAAGTTTTGTCCAAAGCTTTCCAACATATGGATGGCCTTCACTTGTGGGAGAAGTTTCACAATTATGAGGGTGTGTGAAAGCACTAATTTGTATGTTTGTGACAAGAAAATTTTAATTAAATCTGACACCTATGACCAACATCAGATTTATTATTCATAAGGAACCATATTTGATAATCAGGAAAATTAATTTATTTTGTGAACCCCAGAGATCTGGGTAGACACACATTATTAAAAGTTTCATTTATGCATGGCCTTGGTATTGCTACTACCTGAGTGATGCAATTGTTTGTTATGTCAATAATGATATCAAATGTATTGAATAACCATCATGAACATCATGAATATTTGATGGATGGAAGCATTCACATACAAGGAAACAAAGGAAATGATTAAATAGTAAGTCATGTTTGGTTTGTTAAAAACATATGATTAATTATACAATAAAAAAAATTGCAAAGACTGCATCACTATGTCAATCAAGCTATCAAGCTGTTATTTTTGTGCATGATTTAAAATTCCTTTGTGCTAATTTAAGGTCCCATTTTCTTTGCTTATATATAATCTATTGGTTCTCTCTTTACTGGCCAAATTAGGTAATGGGGTATCAGCAAATATCAGAATCTGATTATAATATTCTTAATATTTTTATCATATAGTCTAAAAGCTTATTTGTAATTAAATTATTGGTTAAATATTTCTAAAGCTCTTTGTGCTAAAATAATATCATATATTGAGTAGCAGTTAGGTTTCTATTCCAATGTTTATTTGAATAAAATAAAACAAATAATTCAAGTAATAATAAAACGAATAAAGCGAATAAAAACAAACAAAATGAACAAAACGAATAAAAACGAACAAAATGAACAAAAGGAACAAAATGAATAAAAACAAACAAAATGAACAAAATGAATAAAAACGAACAAAATGAACAAAATGAACAAAACAAACAAAACAAACAAAACGAATAAAACGAATAAAACGAATAAAAATGAATAAAAACAAACAAAATGAATAAAAACAAACAAAATGAATAAAAACAAACAAAACAAACAAAACGAATAAAACGAATAAAGCGAATAAAAACGAACAAAAAGAACAAAACGAACAAAACGAACAAAAAGAACAAAACGAACAAAACGAATAAAACGAATAAAACGAAATAAAACGAAATAAAACGAAATAAAACGAACAAAACGAAATAAAACGAACAAAACGAATAAAACGAACAAAACGAATAAAACGAAATAAAACGAAATAAATTGAACAAAACGAACAAAACGAAACGAAATAAAACGAACAAAACGAACAAAACGAAATAAAATGAACAAAACGAAATAAAACAAAATAAAACGAATAAAACGAACAAAACGAAATAAAACGAAATAAAATGAATAAAAGGAATAAAACGAAATAAAACGAATAAAACGAATAAAACGAATAAAACGAACAAAACGAAATAACAGTCGTAGGACATGTCACAAAAATTTATTTCTACTGCAAAAACATAGTAAATTTTGATGATCGGCATCGAATTTTTCATAGTAAAATTTACAATTGAATACTTTCAAACCCCAGTTTAATGCCCTTGTTGTTTAGCAATCATCACCAAATTTGATAGTATACATCTATTTCATGAAAATTTTTGAGGCAGGTTGTTAATAAAACCGTAGATAATCACAACCTTAAAGTTTTTTTTTGTTTCTGTGATCTCGTGTGTAGAAAATTGTCATTCATATTGATTGCAAACAAATAATTATTTTTTACAAGTAATTACAGAACCCAGTCATTTAGGTATGCTTTCTACTAGAATTTATTATATTATTACATATTAAGAATAGAATTTTGCTAGGGAAAACTTATAAAGTAATGTAAAAATTATTCATTATTATATATATACACACATATATAGTTTCAGCTTTAAATTTATTAATATACTATTGTATTTTTTTAATATAAAGAAAGGTTTCATTCTTGGTACAAAGGAAGATTTTGTTTTTGGTACAAAGAAAAGTTTTGTTTTTGGCACAAAAGAAAGATTTCATTTTGATATAAAGAATTAATGTTGATAAAGTTATTATAAATATAAGATGTTTAAATCAATTGTATTATAAAATTTAATATTCCATTTAATTAAAGAAAACATTAAACTAATAAATTTATAAACAAATTCTGAATTTACTTTTTTAAATGAATTCTTTGATTCAAACTTATTGGCAATATTAATAGAAGACAATGACCAGATTGATCTAACTCATTGCCATATTAGTAGAAATCAATGACCAGATTGATTCTATATTAGAATTTGATGAATATTTATTCCAACAATCAACAAATGATGCTATTATTTGATGATAATATAAAAGAAAACCTGTCTATGAGTGAAACAAATGAAGATTATGAAGATAATCAAGAAGAATATGATAAAGTAACAACAATGGAAGGAAATATTCCTCAATGTGTAAGATATATTGTACAAATTATTGGGTAACAAATGGAGGGCATCTACATATAAGAACAGGAACAAAACCATGTATACATGATAAAGAATCATCCCCATCTTTGATTTTTTTTTTTAGATGGATCAACAATGTTGCTTCTTCAGATGATATAAATGCAAAAAATAAATTATTAAATCTTTTAATACAAGTTTTTAAAAATTTTAATACAGAAGTTTCTACCAAATCTATAGTACAAGATTTCACATCAACAGAATCCATAGTAGAAGAATCCTCCATATCTTCTAATAATTTAATAGTTCCTAGACCAACTTTATTTCTTTTAAGTGTAGTATTTAGAGCAAATAAAATATCTATAAATGAAAATTTACAATCAAATTAATTACAAATGGAATCATATATAAAATTTAGTAAATCTTTAGCAACATCTGTATGGAAATCACATACCCAACTCATAGAAAATAAAGAAACATTAGAGAACCTGCCACACTTGCTGAATTTTACAAAATAATGCCAGAAGATTTTAATGACCTTATTTTTTGGCTTATTTATGATCTAGAAGAAAAAAATATGATGCAATAAAAAGAAAAAGAAAACAATGCAAATTACCTCTGCCTGTGTTCAATGAATCTAATGTAATAAAGCTCACTACATTTTGGCATAGTAATATTAATATTTGCTTTTCCTAATGCTTTACACAAGTGATGTTGTCATTATGCCAGAAACCAAGACTGATGCC